CCATCAACTATCTGGATCAGTGGTTCTCAACCTTGGTTGCACATTAGAATCACCTGGGAATCTTTTTAAAATCCTGATTTCTGGGCCTCATCCTCCGGAAATTCTGTTTCTTTGTTACTGATGTTGTGGCCCCACCCCATAACAAAGAAACAGAATTTCCGGAGAATGAGGCCCAGAAATCAGGATTTTAAAAAGATTCCCAGGTGATTCTAATGTGCAGCCAAGGTTGAGAACCACTGATCTGGATAGTATTAAAGGTGTCCTGAGTGGTATTAGTTCCTGCAGCTTCACCTGCGTGTGTTTAGCTGCCTTCTCTGCACACAATGGAGAGGCCTGGAGTCCCACTGCCTTAGGTGAATCCTCGCTTTGCCACTTAATAACGATGCACTCCTGGGCACGGTTACTTAAACGTTTATAAGCTTCATTGATTTCTTACTCTGAAAGTGGGAGAAATAATAGTTATTGGGGGATTCAATGAGATAATAAATGTAAAGCACTTAAAACAGTGCTGGCAATACAGAATCCCTCCATAACTGCTGAGGACTATTATAATCTCAGCTGTGAACTGGGGATAGGTGTATTTTCCCTGTCTACTTCATAGAGTTGTAGGAGTCAGTTAATGGAAAAAGTTACAAATGTAATCATTATAAGGAGCCGATGACTTGTTTTTATTGTTTGATGATATCTTTGATATAATTTGATTGCAAATTCAAGCTTCATTACTTTGAGGAAGTAGGATTTCTCCAAAAGACTGAGGGTAAGGATCATGTCCATCTTGCTCCTAGTACTGTGCCTGGCACACAGTAGGTACTCATTCAACAACTATTGTCTGTTATGACCATGCTAGGCACTGGGGATGCTAGGCAATGGAGAATTAACAGGCTTGGTTCTTGTCACCTTGGTCCTTAGTTTCTAGTGTTTGTTGCATGAATTAAGAAGAGCACACCTATTTTCATGACTTTTGCTTCTCACAGGATATTTGCTCTGTGTAGTAATTTTGTCTCCATATCTGGTAGGAGACAACTAACATTTTTATTTCGCCACATTCCATACCTTAATTATAGTCATTACCCAGGAAATCATTCATTCTCTCTCTCTCTCTCTCTCTCTCTCTCTCTCAACACAAAGGTAAAATGTGTTGCATATAATCTAATCAGTAGATGTTATTTAACAGTGAGGATGTTGATGTTTCAGGTGTTTTTCTAGCATTATTGCCAGGTAGTGTGACCATTTCATTTCCAAATAAGATTACTTAAATACCTATAACAGGATTGTCCAGAACTATTACTGCATCTTTCTCACGCAAGGATTAATTAGTCTCTGTAGCATTATAAAACATACTCAGCAATACTTAGTTATCAGTACTTTCCAGAAAAAGAAGCATTTGAACAACAAAAGCAACAGGAGGTTAAACTGAGACATTATAAAGTGCTCCTGCCTTGGTAGAACCCTTGGCATCCAGACAAAAATCCTCCCTGCAGGACTATATTGAGCCTAGACAATCTTACCCTCAGCCCAGTTCTCACAGAATTTCTACTGATGGATTCAAAATGGGCATGAACTTGCCAAGAAAGATAACAAAATCTATGAGGAAACAAGACACAATGACTAAGAGTCAGTAGAAACAATAAAAGACCAAATCAGATTGTAGAAACTTTATGTATGGGAATGTTCAGATGTAGAATATAAATATATGTGATTAGTTATGTATAAGCACATATGTTTATATACATAAAGTAAGCATGTTTAATATGTTTAGGAAATAATAGAGGGAGTTGAAAATATGAGCAAAGTGTAAGAAGCTATTTTGAAAGATATATTTGAAAAAGAACTACATAGAATTATAGAAATGAAAAATATCGTTGCAATTAAAAACTCTGTGGACTGGTTTACAATAGATTAGATCAGCTCAAGAGAAAATTAGTAATCACAGATAGCTCTGAATAAATGCCTGGAGTACAGCAAAATAGGTAAAGAAATAGAACATATGAAAGATATGGAGGAAAGAGTAAGAAAGTCTAATATATTTCTAATTATATACTTTAAGATTTCCATAAAAAGATGGTAGAGAGAAAGGGAAATAGGCAATATTTAAAAATATAATGGCCGAGAATTTTCCAGACTTGATTAAAGATCCAAATCCTCAGTTTCAGGAAGAACAACTGACCTCAGATAAGATAAAAAAGAATAAAATCTCATATAGCATTTCACCATGAATACAAAAGGCAAGAAGCTGACCTTAAAAGTAGCCAAATAGAAAAGATAGATTATTTACAAAGGAACAAGTAAGTAGACTAAAGCTAACTTCTAAAGCAATGATAGAAGCCTAAGACAGTAAAATAATCCAGCTTTGAGGGAAAATTAACTGTCAATTTAGAATTGTATATTTAGCATAGCTATCCTATATAATAAAGGCCTAATATGCTAAGTGTCCCACCGTTCATTCAACTGTTCAACCAGTCACTCTGATGCGCACTGATGTGCTCCGACCAATAGGTTAGCTTGCTGCTGGGGTCTGGCCAATCGGGACTGGGCAAGATGGGCCAGACACACCCTGGAGCCCTCCCACGGTCCCTTCCAGCCCCCATCATGCACCGGTGGGGTTCCTCAGCCTGGCCTACACCTTCTCGCAATCCAGGACCCCTTGGGGGATGTTGGAGAGCCAGTTTCGGTCCAATCCCCACAGGCCAGACTGAGGGACCCCATTGGTGCACGAATCCATGCACTGGGCCTCTAGTCTTTCAGTAACAGGGCTCAAAAACACTTTCAGACAAACAAAAAATGGCAGAATTTTATCATCAACAGACCAAAACTAGAGAAAATCTTAAAGGGTGTACTTCAGGTAAAAGGGAGAAAATGACTATTATAAAATACAATAGAATGTTGAAAAAAGAAAATATATAAGTATTCTTTTAAAAAGTGGATTGTATAAATTAATAATAATGTCTAATTAGTGTAGTTAAAAATATTTTTTCTGAAATACTGGATTTTTTATTTAAATGAGAGGAGGATAAATATATTGATTAGAGAAGTATAAAGGAAAATGTATCAGGCAGATATTAACCAAAAGAAACCTAATATAGTTATATTAATATCAGACAGAATAGAATTTAAGGGAAAAAAGATCATTAGAGATATATAAACATTATTATGCATAATGGTAAGAAGTTTGATTCACACGCATATGTATACACACTAGACAGAGATATACAGTTGTAAACTTAAATGTACCTAATAACATGGGTTAAAATATAAAAAGAAAAATTGATATACCTATATAGAAAAATTGATTAGTACATTCTAATAGGAAGATTTTAATACAACTCTCAGTAATATATCAAAAGGACCAAAAAAATTAGTGAGGACCAAGGATTCAAAGCTTGATCTAATGGGTATATGTAGAACTTTGCATCCAACAATTACAGAAAACACATTCTTTCCAAGAACATGTAGAAAACTTAGCGGAAAAAAAAATAAAAAATAAAAATAAAAAAAAAAGAACATGTAGAAAACTATATTTGCTAGTTCATAAAGCAAGTTGCAACATATCTCAACTGGTATCATTTAACTCACACACACTGATCACAATGTAGTTAAGTAAAATATCAATAGTGTACATAAAAGCATTTATTTGAAAATAAAATAAAACACAAATAATTTATAGGTGAGGAAGATATCAAAATGGAAATTTAAAAATAAATGTAGAAATATCAAAAATTGTAGGATGCAGCTAAAATGATACTTAGAGTAAAATGACCTTAACTTATTAAACTAAAAAAGAAGAAAGGTTAAGATCTAAATAAATGGAAAGACATCCCATGTTCATGGATTAGAAGACTTAATATTAAGATGACAATACTACCCAAAGTGATATACTAACTCAGCTAGTCAGCATATCAGATATAGGGAAACAACCCAGTTAAAAAGTAGGCTAAAGACTTGAATAAACATTTCTTCAAAGGAGATATTCAAATGGCTGGTGAGCACATTAAAAAAAAAGGAACCCTTCTGCACTGCTGGTGGGAATGCAGACTGGTGCAGCCACTGTGGAGAACAGTATGGAGTTTCCTCAAAAAACTAAAAATGGAACTCCCATTTGACCCAATGATCCCACTTCTAGGAATATATCCCAAGAAACCAGAAACACCCATCAGAAAGGATATATGCACCCCTATGTTCATAGCAGCACAATTCACCATAGCTAAGATTTGGAAACAGCCTAAGTGCCCATCA